TCCCAAACCAAGGCAGATAATCGCACTCCGTAACAAACGCATGCTAAAGAAAGGTCTAAAGACCAATTGACCGTTGAGGGAGGATGAAATACCCCCTTGGATTAGACGCAGTGGCTGCTTAAAGTCAGCCCAAAACACGATTTTTCACAGACAATTGTGACCGTTTTGATCAACTTTGCGGCAATACTGCTCCCAAATTAAGGCAGATAATCGCACTCCGCAACAAAGGCATGCTAAAGAAAGGTCTAAAGACCAATTGTCCGTTGAGGGAGGACGAAATACCGCCTCGGATCAGACGCAGTGGATGCCTGAAGTCGGCCCAAAACACGATTTTTCAAAGACATTTGTGACCGTTTTGATCAACTTTTTAAGTTGTTCCCGCCAGTGCTCGGCGTGTGGGCCACCCCAAGCGACCCCAGTTACCTCGCCGCGGCCCCTCGAAATTTTTTCGCGACCCCATTTGGGGTCGCGACCCCAAGGTTGAGAACCGCTGGTTTAGCGACTCTGGAGCTCAAAACGCGTCTAGAATTTCGGCCGCCTCCACCGGTCTTCTAGCCCACTGTGCGCCGTCGGACAGTCGCTTGGTCTCTCTCGCTCTCTGTGGGCGTTGCGAGGGGTGCAAGAGAGACAGCGGCGAAAGCACTGTTCGGAATCAGGCGGCCGCTATGCCGCTATTGCTACTAACAAGAACGAGGCGGTCAAAGCACGCACCCGCGCGCCGCCCAGCCATGGCCCAGCCGCCCACGAGCACCGAGCCAGAGAGAGAGAGAGACGGAGACAGCGCACTACTTCAACTCCACCGTGGCGTGCTTCGGGTGTCGCGTTGCCTGGCGTGGCCGTGCTGCAAGGTGCCCGGCTGACTACGCCCCACTCGACATGTCGTGCGCATGTCGCCCGCGCCAAAAACGGCTCGGCCTGCAGGACTGATTCGCTCCGTCCCTCTCGCACCCCTACGACACGCCCCGTGAGTGCGAGAGAGACGGCGGGCTGGCCCACGCCGGCACTGTTCGCGGTGCTCCGCGGAGCTCGCTCACGCGATTCGGGTTTCGGCCTGGGATCTGGGATTTCGGTTGACATGGGTTGACGGAACCAACACGCGTACGTACACGCGTAGACGCGCGACGTGAGGAGGAAGCGCGGATGTCGCCCTCTTTCTCTCTTTCTCTCCGAGGCTGGACGGAGGCAGCACAGTTCCGCTGAGGTTGTTTGTTTTTTACGCCCGCCTACACCTGCGGCAAGCAGCGGCAGAAATGAGTCTCGTTAGGTTAGGGCAGGTCGGTGGGGGCCTTGGTGGAGGCATCCCGGTCGGTGGCAACGGCATCGTGGGCCAGGAGACCGGTGCAGGCGGCAGGTGGTCAAAACTCTTGACGCGTTTTGAGCTTCAGAGTCGCTAAATGGGACTCGCCCAAACGTGTGACCCCACCAATGGATTCCTCGTTCGGAGATCAATCCATTGGTGGGCTCAGACGGTCGGTTCGAGTCCCATTTTGCGACTCTGCAGCTCAAAACGCGTCTTCATTTTGGCCGCCTCCACCGGTCTTCTGGCCCACTGTGGGGCAGTGCCGGCAGCGCCCCTCGCGACCGGTCAGCATGACAACCGTCTCGGGGGCATTGGAGTGCAATCAGGATGAATCAGGACCGGCCGCACCGGCCGCCGAGACGGGCCGCGCCGCCACGCCCCCCGCAATGTGGATGTGTTAGTGGAGCACGCCGCGCCACGCCGGTCGGGGCACTTCCGTTCACTTTCATCATGTGTCCGGGTCCGCGCGGGGCGTCCACAAACACTCAGGGAAGTCCCCGCCGACGCGGCGACACCCACGCCGCCTGACGTGCAGGTGCAGCCCGCAGACTGCAGTGGCCGAGGGCGTAGAGGCGCTCTTCAACGTGGAGGACCCGCGTTCGATTCCCCTCCGAGGGGCGCTTCCAGGAAAATGGCAACAGCAGCATCGGGGACGATCTTCCGCGGAGCGCGTTTCTTGTCGCTTCCTCCGGAAGTACTTACACTCGCTCTGCCGCGCAATCCGTGCATGGCGTCGTGCAGGTTCCCAATCAGGCGAAGCACACACACACTCACACACGCACGCACGCACTCGCTACTGTCCCGTGGGACGCTGGGCCGCGGACGCGGTCTCCGACGAGGTGCTGACCGACACCCAACGCGCGCGCACGCCGAATGAGCGCTGGCAGTGCCAGCAGCCAGCACGGGGGGCGCCGCGACGCCGCCACGGCCGGCACGGGCACGGCGCCGCCGGACCGCGGCTAGCCCGCCAGCCCGGCTCGGCTCCCCGCCAGCTCGCCCGGCCCGGCCGCCCGGCCGGCCCGGCTCAGCTCGGCAGACTCAGGTGGGGGTGACGGCGGCGGCCACCTTGCCGGCGTGCCTGGCGGGGGTGATGGCCGTGTGTGTGCTCAGCCAGGCCTGCCGACGGCCAGACCGCCGGGCGTCCCCGCCGTCGGGGACGGTCCGGGACGGTCCGGGACGTCCACACCACACGGGCCGCGAATCAATGGGCTAAACCGGACAATCTGCTCCCAGCCGCCGGGCCTACTTTCCAAGGGCCGCGGCGGCGAGGCGGCGAGGCGCGGCCGACGGGGACGTGCCGATCTAGGCCCCGGCTAGACGCCCCGTCAGACTCCCCGTCGGCCACCACGTGCCCCGCCCCGCCCCGCCCCGCCCCGCCCCGCCCCGCCCCGCCCCGCCCCGCCCCGTCCCACACCGCCCCACGCCCCACGCCCCACGCCCCACGCCCCACGCCACGCCCGAATCAGGGAACTCGTCTTAATAGTGCGGAAAATTTGGAAGTGCCCATCCCATCAGACCGGTCACAGACTTGGCCTGGCTGGGCCTGCCCAGGCCTGGCTTGGCCAGGACGGAGAAAGGGGCGTCCCCGGAAGAATGTGAGACAGGATGCGCCGTTTTTTGTTTCTTTTTGCATCCATCATCAAAAGGTAAAAGCAGGCCTTTATTTAGCCGCACCTCGATCGCGGACGCGGTGCGGATCACGGCCAGAGAGACGCGGGTCGGCTCGCATTCTGGTTGTCGCCAACCCCGCTAGACTGCAGGAGCCTGGGGGGCCCAGCTAGCCCGCCCGCCCGAGTCCGCCCGTGCAAAATTTACATTTATTGAGATTTTTCGTGTCGATATCTCGCAAACGGTGCGAGTTGAACATGAATGAACGCACGAATGAATGGACCACCAGCTGGCGTTATGCGTCCAGGCGTTTCCGGTTGAACCCACATTCCTCCAGCTTCACACTCTCCAGCCGCTCCAGCAGCCGGGCGATTCCGAACCGTCGCTCTGTCTCTCTCGCACCGCCGCGGAGCGCTCGGCGCGAGTGCGACAGAGACAGAGCGGCGAAACGACTCTTCGGAGCTCCAGCCGAGGCTCAGCCGACTGGAGGATGAGCCCATTCCTACACCCCGCAAACCCGCAAACGCGTGTCCGACTGTCTGACACGCCGAGCCGTCGAGCCCGGTGCCCATCCTAGTCACTTTCTATCCTCGCAATAATGGCTAAACACGGAGCCGGCGAGCGCCGTCCGCGCCGCCGTCCGCGCCGACTCAAGACTCGGGCCAGATAAGCGGCGTGTGTAAGACTCCCCTGTGAGTGGCCGACGTTGTGGCTACACAAGCGCGGTTCCATCGCGCTGCTTCGGCAGCTGGCTTCTCCTGGAGCACCGCTTGCTTCTGGCCGTTAGCGCCTGCGAGGTAGGCCACCGGCCCGGACCGCAGCACACCGCTGTGGAGACGGTGGCCTATCTGTCGCCTCACAGGCGCGACGTAGGCCACCGTCTCCACAGCGGTGTGTTGCGGGCCGGGCCGGTGGCCTACCTCGCAGGCGCGAATGGGACAAAACACCTGCAATCCCGTTTTTAGGATCACCATGGGGTAAAAGTCCTTGCAAAAATCCTCAGATGGTAACAAAAAAATGCTTGGCAAAAAAGAACAAGATTTCCATCTTACCTTAGTCAGTCGCATCCCCAGACAGGTCGTTTGCGTGGTCACAACGTTGTGGCTACAAATAGGCGCGTCGAGGGAGCCAACAGCAGTCGGCACGCACGACAATATGAATGTGTCTACATACATCATGGCGGAGGCGGGCGATGGTTCGATTCCCGCCGCCGGCAGAGCGTTCCTCGCTTTTTTTTTTCTCCACAAAGCGCATCTTGGAGTAATCCATGAATAATCCGTTTTCACTTCTGATCTGCATGCCTGCTCCGCACACACACCGGAGAGAGGTACTCTATGCATTTAAATTAAATTTAAATAAAACTGACCTAATATTAGATTAACCTATCCCAACCCAAACCGTCTCAACATAGCCATTCGAGACGTGCCACCGGTGGGACCGCGAGAAGAATGGGGTGGGGGGGGGCGGGGCGGGGCGCGGCCGGCGCGTGTCTCCTGGTGTCTCCCGAGGATCATATCTGCACCTGCGGCGCGCTGGGCCTCCAAGGCTGGGTCCGCTGCTGGCCTGCGCGTGGGACGGAGAAAGTGTCGCCAACATGACGGCGGGAAAAAAGGGTAACTCTCATTCCGCGTATGCAGCACCGCGGCTATGCTGGTGGCCGCTGGGACCACTGGAACCACTGGAGTCACTGGAGCCACTGGGTCGACAAATTCCCACAGGCCCATTTCTCGGATGGGCACCCTTGACTTTCCTGAAATGTCAAAAGTTCGCTCAGGAGACCGCGATCCCCAATGGAAAATTCTAAGGAATTTTTTTTAGCAGACAGGTGATTTTACAAGATGTGACGACGGACGACCTCAGACTTTTCAGACCACTGTGTCCCGGATAGCCATTTTTGCTTGAGACCCAGTCAGTAAATGACGGCTACATCCAGTGGCGAGCCCGGACCAAGATCCGGAACGAAAGCACATCATTGCTGAAGCCACCGGGGAATGACCTTTCCCAACCCCAACCCGCTCCAACCGTTCAACGAGTGGCGCCAAAAGCACCGCCTTGCCACAAAGCGGCATTCCCGCCATTTGGGAATCCAAAATGGCGACTATGGCGATCACTTTTTGTTTACTTTGACAGATGCAGAAGGCAAAAGTGATCGCCTTTTCATGACTAATTGCTTGATCCAAACAAAAGTAGTCATTTGTATTCTTGGGCTGTTTCGACAGTAAGACTTCGACATCATGGCTACGAGGAGTCTGACGGAAGTTTTCGTACTGATGCGAAATAATGCCATGCAAAGTCGACATATATACACCGAGCAGGTAGCACCATACGTTCATTCAAAACTGGTTTATTGTCCGAAAAATCACTTGAGGATAGAAGTATTTGCTCTTATTTCTATTCGAAATGCTTTCCACTGTCATCATGTCTAGGATTCATGCACTGTCTCACAAACCCGCTCATGTTAACAACCTAGACTCACTCTTGTACCTACCCTTATGAGGATGAGTGAAACTTGTTGTCGAATTTGAATCTGATTTTACAATAATATTGGTGCTGCCTTTTCCCTGTGAATTTTTTCTCTACCAGTCTCAACTTATGTGGGTTTGTTTTGCTGTCCAGGCCGTCTCAGATCGTATGGCACTTGTTCCTAGATCTGTCGATGTTGACATCGAGCTCGCTGACTCTCGATTGCCTCCAACCTGGTCAGATGGTCTAGAAGAAGCTCAGTATGCCTTATCAAGAATACGTGGGAAGCTAAAACAGCTGTCTGCATTGCACTCCCGACACTTACAGCGTCCCACCTTGGACGACACTAGGAATGAAGAAATTCAGATCGAGGCTTTGTCTCAAGAAATAATGAGGGTCAGTTACACCTCTCTATTGTTTTAATTTTTAATTTTGCTTTTTCCTCTTTTTACCTGTGTTGTTATTTTTATTTTTGTTATCTTTTACCAGATGTTCAACAGTTGCCACAAACTAATTACGCAAATTCGCCAAGACGGTTTGAATGGCTCAAATAAGGAGAGACAGCTTGCCAAGAGTGTTGTTGCTGCCCTTGTCAACTCCCTTCAAGAATTGTCAAATAACTTTAAGACATCACAGGGAGATTACTTGAGAAGTGAGATAATATCTATTTGATTGACCTAATCTCTTATGAAATTTTCTTCAATATTGTTTGTTTTACTTCTTCAGAGTTGAATTCTAGAGAAGAACGCTCTCGGCAGTATTTTGATAACCCATGGGATGTGCCTAGTTCTGCTTCAAATCAGAGCAATGCAGCTTTTCTTGGATTGGATGAAGATAGGTGGGAGGTTGATAGCAGCCTAGATAATATTGATCAACAGTTTTCTAATGCAGCATCAGGTAAAATATTCTCTTCTATCGTCTAAGAATTTCACTGGAAATAAATTTTGTTTGCTGAAAGTTTTTTCTTCCCCAATATTAGGGAAAATGACTCAGACTCAGCTGGTGCTTATGGAAGAAGAAAACACAAAGATGATTGCTGAAAGAGAAAGAGAAGTTTCTCACATTGTTCAATCTATTAGTGAGTTGAACACAATATTCAAGGATCTTGCGCATATGGTTGCTGATCAGGTGGGTAGAAACAATTCTCATAAGCTTAATATCTATTTTGCATCCTGTATATCCAAAGTTCTCTGAAAATGTATATCTTTCTTACAGGGTACAATATTGGACAGAATAGATTATAATGTGGAACAAACCCAAATTCAAGTTGGGCAGGGCTATCAACAGTTACAAAAAGCTGATGCATATCAAAGAAAGAATCGTAAAATGGTTTGTATTCTTTGCCTCGCTGCTGCCATTATTTTGATGCTCTTCCTCCTCATAATTTTCAAAACTTGATTACCTTGACATGATTTCATCTAATATATTTTGTTAGGGTCAGGGCGGGGAAGAACTGGACACCCCATATTTTACTTCAAATACCGTAGGCACAGGAATAACAACTATCAAAAGTTGTTCCGTGGCATCAGCGGTTTATTACACGACAGTTGTCAGGCCGGTACATACGGCATTTGAAGTAAAATGTGGGGTGTCCAGTTCTTCCCCTGTCCAGTTTTTCCCCGCCCTGACCCTACACCTCAATCATTGAAAAACTGCCTATATGGCTAAATTTCAGAAGGTTCAGTGTACCTGAGCAACTTTTTGCAAGTCATTAATTTGTTGCTCTCTGTTCCTTAAGATTATACTAATTGTTTCCCTTTGCGGAAAAATGTGACCTGTGCTTATCATTCCAGAGAGGCCTAGAAGTCTGTTCCACAGCATGCAAGGCTTCTCTGCATACCTGTTATAGCTAAGCTTCTACTAGTCATAGAACTGATTGCAAATGTATTTCTCCATCAGCTGGTAATTTCAGTGGTTTCCTTTAAAATGTGGTTGTATTTTAATTTTTTATTCTGTTTTGGGATTCACTTAATCTATATTAAATATTGAAGGGGCCCTTCCCTTTGAACAATTCACGGGTATTGACTTCATGCAAAATAGAATGGCAAAATTTTCCTGCTTGGGACTTTGGATTTCTTGTACGACAAAAAGGTTAAGAATGTGTGGAAATTATCATGGGCGAATTCCGATTTTTATGAGCTTCATGAAGACTGTTATTATAAAAGTTTATCTGCAGCAGATATCATATCTGCTCTTTAAAAGTATTTAAAGTTACTTAATTAACAACAGCCTGTTTGTTTTTATTTTCATGAAATTCTGAAGTAGAATCTTATGTGCCTGTTCTATTTTTTGTTTGTATTTGACATTTTCATCTGTGATCATAATTTATTCTGTGCGACTTTGTTGATGTGGCCAAATAATATTTTATCTGTGTTGTAGTATGTGTGACTATTTTAAGAAAGTATTTCTGTTTGAGTCATGTTCTGTTTTCTCCTTGCCTTCTGTCAGGTGTGCAGAGCATGGAATCTATAGTATAATACATCAGATTGTTCTATTTTTCCTGTAGGCTGATTGCTGTTGTATGTTAAAAATACACCAACAACACGAAGGAACACTGCTTGTCTAGTATTTTTGGTACCTTTTTTCTTTTCTAACAGATGGGTGGAGGCAAACTGGCAAGGAATACATCTGAGTAAAATAATTGATGATTTTATTGATCTTCACAACAATATTCAAGAAGTCAAGTAACAGTCACTTTGCAGTATTGTCCAGTTACATCACCAGTCTAAACAATTTTACATTAAATGGCAACATGAATATGAAATAAGATTGCACATGAAAATAGGAAAAAGTAACTTAAGAAATACAAAGCACCACCCTATGGAGATGTCATCATAAAATACACTGATCCTTATACAATAAATACATAGAGATAAAAGTACAAAAGTATCATGATTCACAGCCAAAGTACAAAATTAAAACCAAAAGGGCAGCTCTATAATCAGTTGGCTGCACTCTTCTTTTAGATAAGTTAATTTGGTGACATATCAAACCATCACCTTTTGGCATGACTAACACTTCTCAGAGAAATGGTTACATCACAAAATGGTGAAGTAACTTAGTAATTGTTTTGCAGTTGAGTTGCAAGGTGGTAGAAGTGAGAAGATCTATCTTCCATCAATACATCAGGGCTATCAAATTCTAAAACTTCCCCACCAGCCATAACAAGAACCCTGTGAAAACAAAGAAAACGATTCATGTTAATTCAAGACTCTCAATTCATCAGTTGCCACGTAAAAGATAAATTCATACTTAGCTCACCTATCAGAATCCATTATGGTGTCAATACGATGGGCTATAGTAATAACAGTACTTTGCCTGAAAGCGGCTCTAATTGTTTTTTGAATGAGACGATCTGTTTCCTGATCAACATTTGCTGTTGCTTCATCAATGCAGAGGACCTGGAATGAGTAGCTGGATTATATAAATGTTATATTATAAAAGTAATAAGACAGGGAAAAATAAAAATGCATAAGTTTTACCTTGGCATTCTGTAAAATGGCCCTTGTGAGACAAAGCAGCTGTTTTTGACCAGCAGAAAAGCAAGAACCTCCAGACCCAACATGAGCACTTAAGCCTCCCATTCGCCTCACAACATCAACAATATGACAACGGTTTAAAACATCATAAACCTCATGATCGTGATACTGCTTGAGAGGATCTATGTTGTCTCGCACAGTTCCCGCAAATAAAAATGGATTTTGAGGAATAACTGCTAGACGAGACCTTGTAAAAAATAAAAATCACAGTTGTTTATAATGCTTAATTAATTGCATCTCTAGACCAAAAGTCAATACTACACACTAACCTCAGACTATTAAGGCTCAAGTTTGCGATGTCAACAGAGTCAATAAGAATGCACCCATTTGACGTTTCAACAAGACGAAATAGTGCGGCAAGGAGCGAACTCTTGCCAGCTCCTGTTCTGCCAACAACACCAATCTTTTCAGAAGGCCTTGTATGAAAACTAACATGTTTCAAGGATGGTGATAAATGCTCCCTGTTCAACAAAAGAAAAAAATGCTATGACTCCACAAATAAAACCCAACACCACTCAAGAAGCACAAAACTATTTTAGATTACAAACCTGTACTTTAAAATAACATTCTGGAACTGCACAACACCTTGAGATGGCCAGGCATAGGGAGCTGGCTGCAATGCAGATTTTTGTGATTCACATTGAATTTCAGCAATATACTGGTGAACTCTTTCCACAGCAACCATCTCTCGTTCAGTTTCAGTCAATGCATTAACAACACCTCCCATCATGCTTGTGACAGAAAGTGCATAAGCAATAGCCAGGCCAACAATACCTAGGACCAAAAGCATAATTGTGTTCTGATATTCAATATTTTTTCAGGGGTAAAACCAGCAGAAAACAACACCATAAGTTTCTTGCCTGGATCAGCAACATCAAATTGGTGTTGAATAACAGCTATCAAGCCAACACCTGAGATTACTGCAACTCCCATCAACTGCAACCGTAGCCCAAGCCATTGAGATGCGGCCTGAGTCGCTAAATTAGCCCTCTGATTACAATCTAGAAGATTTTCATTGTATCGCTTAAACCTGGCAAAAGAGATAATTTAGATGGTTCATGCTGTCTTGTCTTGTAACTACTTATCACGGCCCGTAATGGAGAATTTCCAAACTTAAATACCTGTAACTGGCACGAAATGCCCGGATTGTGGACAGACCAAGAATTGATTCACTAAAATGCGAATAAACAGGTGAAAGTGTGACACTAGATATTCTTTTCAGCTCTCGAGAAGTTTGGCGGTACTGCTCCTGAAGCCAGTGGTAAATAGGACCCAAAGGAACCAGCACAAGGACCACCCATGGAAGCCCATAAATTGTCACAACAATTGTACCTAAAAGAACAAAGTACATTGGTTAAGTAAGAAATTCCAATGAAATTAAACCAAAATCTTAAACAAAGAGACTAACCCAATAAGCCAAACAGTTGTGCTAACAAAATGTTGAGGATGAAGGGCAATGAGTCATCAACTGTGTAAGTGTCAGAGGACAAGCGGTTCAATATTCGTCCCAAAGGTGACACATCAAAAAAGAAAATTCTTGCCTGGGAAAATTTTGATTCAAGTTAAAAAAAAAAACTTATCATGACACTTGCTGAATAAAGACAAGGAAGATTGAAAACAAACCCGCATAATAGTTTTCATAAGTTGCTTGTGGAGACCTGTGGCTGCATGAATGCCAGCATACGCAAATAGAAAGGCCCTTAGCAAGGTGAAAAAGGAGTTCAGACCAGCAATAGTTGCATACACAGTAAGGTAGAAGGAAATGGTCCTTTGATCAGGGGTTTCGTCAATGCCTTGAAACTGGGAAGAAACTGTAAGGAACAAAATAAAGATTGAAACGAGACGAAAAATTAAACTTTTCTTTAATTTTCTCTCAATTAATCTGATACCTGTGTTGGACATGTTAGGAAATGGACTACTGCCATTATGCGAAACCCAATAGGACATCCACAGATCCGAAAGATTTCTCGATGTTTGCATTAAGACAAGTGAGAGCAATGTTGCGACTGATAGCAGCGGAGTGAAAGCCTTCCAGTATGCACCATACACTCTAAGTCTCACAGTGCCCGTTTCGCGATGTTCATCCAGGAGTACATCATCCTCCAGCCTTGCTGAACAATCTGTTTGGAGAAAAAATAACTTGTCAGTTGGAGACACCAATAAGCAGTCAAATTGAACTATTTTTTTTTTAACCTTCATCTCTACTAATTTTCTTAAGAGGTTTAGCATTGTCTTGGAAGGTATCAGAATCAAGAAGAGCTAAATTTTCCATTTCCTCAGGGAGAACATCGGAGGGAGAACCTGCATCAAACATTAACATGGTAGTGTTTTAAATAAATTAGTTTGTACGAGATAAACAAAAGGAAAATATGACCAAAACATAACTTACCCATTTCCACGACACGCCCCTTTGTCATTTTCAAAACTACATCAGCATATCTCAGGCATTGTGCATAATGGGTACAAAGTATACGTGTTCGGCCATTCAAAAACTTGAGGATGCACTTGTTAAAAATAGCATTTGCAACTGGAGGGTCAACTGATGATAGTATATCATCAAAAATATAGATAGACTTATCCTATAAAAGAAATTTAATTTATTTTCAAGTCATAAAATACCATTTAGGAATCTAACCTTTTTCCTATTCAATTTTACCTGATACACAGCTCTGGCCAAGGCAATCCTAGCTTTCTGACCTCCACTTAGATTAGAGGCTCCTTCAGCTACTCCATATAGATCTCCATTAGGCAGAACAAGCAGATCATCTCTCAGACAACAGGCTTCAAGCACTGATTTATAACGTATTTGATCAAATGGTTTGCCAAATAAGATGTTGTCTCGGATAGTTCCACGCTGAAGCCATGTTTGTTGAGCCACATAAGCAACACCTAAATAATTTATAGAAGTCAAAGAAATGATTTATTACACACCTCATGTCACTCAGGTGAACATCATTTACATTAGATTAAAAAAAAAAAAACAGTAAGTACCTTGATCCGCATTGTCTACTGCCACCACACCTGACAACTTTTCCGGCTCAGCTAACATTGAAGCCAACAAAGTTGATTTGCCACTTCCAACTTCTCCGATGACTCCAACCATCTGGCCCTACAAAGTAGAAAGTGTTGTGGGAATTGTCATAGTTATTTGAGCAACACCGTGGGGAAGACAAAATTTTACCTTGTGTATTGTGAAGTTTATATCATTCAGTTGGAACTTTTCTTCAGATACATCACTTCCCCATTCAAATTTACCATTTCGAATGATGACTGCAATATTGTCGTTGTCAATTGGAAGTGGATGATAGTATTCATGTAAATCTAGGTCTGAAAGCTACGCAGGAAAAAATATTATTAGAATTAAGATGACAGAGCTAGAAAAGGCACATGAAAGACAATAACAACTCACTGTGAGGAGTTTTTGTATGCGAGAAACTGAGACCCATGCTTCAACAAGGCCATTTAATACCCAAGGAAAAGCATTCAAAGGTGAAATCAGCATATTTAACAGAGCAATTGTTGTAAACACCTAAAATTGAGAACAAAAATATTTTTTTAGTAAACTTAACATGTTATGTTTATTGCAATTACCCAACCTTTTATGAAACTATCTATTTGAATGACTTTCTTACTCTGGCTGCAGTAAGCTGTCCTCCAAGGAAAAAGTAGCATGTAAAGGTCAAAACTGCAATTATTACTGGAGTAGTGGCCCAGAAGAACACGCACATGGCATCAAGATATTTTCTTCCCTTCAAATAATACAGCTCACTTTCTCTTATACCTATGACAAAAAAAAATGAAAAATATTTGGATGGTACGAAAAGTGGAAACAAGAACTGTCATTCAGTGAAAGGCTAATATTCTCACGTAGAATCTTGCTAAGGAAATGCTCTTCCCAAACATGCATTTTCAATGTCCGTATTCCTTGCAAAACTTCAGAGCACATTTCTACTCTTTTATCCTTCTTCTCCATCATTTTCGTGCTTAAAGAACCTGAAAATTTTAAAAAAAGTTATGGAAGGTCGCTTATAACAATTATAACTATGCATAAAAAAAAATTACAGACCAATTTTCATAGCAATTAGTTTGTTTATTGGAATAAGCACCACAGCAAAGCAAACTCCAGCTAAGAATGCTAAGCCAACTTCATTGTAAAGGAGGTAAAATGTCACAGCCAACTGGAACGGGATGCTCCAAAAAGCATGAAAACTGGGACATGAATTGACTATTCTGTCAGTGTCTGTACTCATGAAGTTCACAACCTCACCAGAGCTGAAAAAGAAGTTATGATAACAGTTCGTCTTTTCAAGCATTAGTTCCAAAAATGATAACTAAAATAGTTAAATACCTGAACAATGAAAAGGATTTGGGACTCAAAGTTAGTGTTTTTCTGTACACAAGGGTGACAATTGCAGAACGAATTTTCATTCCAACCTTCGCCATTAAAAAGTTGAAATGTGCATTGCATAAAGCAGCTTAAACATAAAAGAAATTTATAATATTAGTACATGGATAAATGAATACCAGAGCAACAGATGATAAATCTCACTTACAAATAAGCGCTGCCAGACAAAGACCGATGGCATAGAAATACCCATCTTCCTTCTTTTCAGATTTAGTCTCAATGAACTCTACCAACTGTTTCAACAAGAGAGGAGATGCAAACCCTACAATGTCTCCAACAAATTTCAAAATGCCAATACTATAAAACTCCCATGCGAAACAGGAATGTAATGCTCGCATCAGTGACAGTGGGGATGAAACCACATGCACATCTTCAACTGACTGGGCACAGGTGGGGGCACACTGTGCTGATGATGACGGCCCTTGAATACTGCCATACTGGCCTGGAAAATAAGGAAATAAAGATACAAATAAAATTGAAAAACTGATTTATCCAGAATCCTGTTTTCAAACACTACGTTTACCTGAGCTTATGCTGGCTTTTTCAGAGTGAAGAGCACATGATCGGCCGATAGCCTGTTCCAGCTGAGCATGGATGAAGGAGGGGGAGAGATCCTCCGGCAGATCAAAAAGATCGTCCACATTATGAAGTTGTCCTTCAACACCTTTTACCATTAAAGGTCGCACCCAATGGAAAAACAAACGAGAAGAGAAGGTTGAGTCCTCCATGGCGACACCCAAGTATCCAGGTTCCTCCTCCTCTCTAAAACCACTGTAGGCATGTCGCGAGCTCAGCAGGCCTTGTCTTTCATCATTCTGAAACACATGTAATTCAATTGCATGGATTGAGCAGTCTTCTGGATAGAAACCATAGAAACAGACAATCAATGACAATAATGATTAACTGTACCTGCACGGCTCCTGGGTGCTGTTCACGATAAATCATTCTATTATAGGCGGCATGAGTACCACACCTTCCAGGAACTAATGTTAAGAGATATAGACAATGTATGGATAGTGAAATAATTTCAGCATAATAATATGTGTAGGTAGAGTGGGCAGGATCTCCTTCTCTAATTATTCTTGCAATGGAGCGTACTGAGACGATATTGAGCATCAACACAAGAGTCCACAACACACAGACTATGATTGGCCCTCTAGGGCTTACTCCGAGACGATGTCTGCAATGAGTACAAAGCCATGAATCACATGCAATAAATAGAATCTTCAATCCGTTCTGAAATGCTCTTACCTCAGAGCCAGGACAAATCCGAAATGCACCAGCCAGGCAAAACTTTCCACTCCATACAAAAGATAGTCGACAGGATGCAATGATGTTGGGGCATCCTTAATGCTATAGCACACTCTTATTATGGGCTCAATGGCTAGAATAAGAGCTATAATTGATCGAACTAAAATAACTCTGATCATATTCGGATCTCTAACAACCCATCTGTCCTGTCTTCCACAGTAAAATGCTGATACGGCAGCAAGAAGAGTTAAGAAAGGTACCTGAAATCATAAAAAATGAGAAGGGGTGCTCCGATACATAAGCAAATGTTTAAGAAATCAGTTTCATCATTATGGTACTGAACGTACTTGGAGGCATAGTTTTTGGAAGCAGACCCCCAAGTCCTGATGAATAGGGGACCAGATGGTTAACCCATCTGGGCCACACATTTCCTCCCAATTCCATTTGAATACCCAGCTCATTGAGCTAGGCTCTATCGATGGGTTCATTGTTGCGGATAAATATACATCAATAATTTGTTACATGCGCCCTGAGGAACATACAAGGCCATACAGTACTTTATTAGAACATTGATTACAGGCTGAAGACTATGACTCACAACATAGACACTTGTGGTTCAAGGCCTTAAACAGAACCTGCTGAATGTGAAAAGTGACAGCCCCATGATACAGATACAAACACTAGGCACTAATTGAATGAAAAGATGACGGCGTCAACACTGACAACTCAGTAGGAAAAAATCCTTGAAATGTTAGAACACTCCATCCTTTATTAACTACAATAAAGAAAGAACACAGAAATACTGTCAAAATGACAACTTAACCTCCCCCAGGTGATTCACTCATGCTAATTTTGCATTTGTACAGAAATATCGACAGCATCATTTTGAGCACGTACCTAGTAAACTGTAAATAGAGGCACAAACAAAGTGTCGTCTGGCAAATATTCGGTAATTTACCATGGGAGGAATATTTCTCGCTAATGCGGCACATCAGCTGAGGAGCACTGCACAACATCTCCACCCCTACCGCCCCCTGGCCCCCCTCCTCTCCGCTTCCCTCTCCCCCTTCCCCTTCCCCCTTGTGCATGTGGAAGTGGAACCGTGTTGTCCCAGTCCATGCGGTATTCTTGTTGGCTGTAATTGTTCAGTGCCTTGCATCGTTCACCTCTCACCATGGGTCGTCACGGCATCCGGAATTCCAATTCCTTCGCTCAGAAAAAGCGTAACCAGAAACACAAGGTTCGCATGACTTTTATTAACGCTCTTTGGCTTAACATTTCTGCTGGCAATGGGCCGCTTAACCTATTCGGACCGCCAGCTCTATGCCAGCAGAAGTTAGGTATCTATTAAATTTATATTTTGATACGTTATTTTAGAAGCAACCCAAGTGTGATTGGTTCTATTTGAAATTTTTGGATATTGAACGGAAGGTCTTATGCACTGTCACACATGTTCAAGCCAAGTTCTGTCGTGTCACTTGTCTGACATGTTTACGTTTTGTTCCAGCAAAGAGATGTGTGGGACCCAGCTAAAGCCAAGATGAATTATGCTGATACACTTCGTGAGAGTGAAGCTTTCTTCACGTACTACAAGGTGGGACCTAGTGGTCACTAAGAATGTGGTCGGATCACTGTGCTATGTTCATGCGTGCTACTTTTCTATTCCAGAAACAAAATGTATGTACTGAAGAAGAATGGGACCAAATGATTGCATCCCTCCAAGACACCTTGCCAACGTCGTTCCGTATTACTGGCTCTAAAATGGAAGCTCGTGCTATGCTGGATGTGATTGAGGGACAATTCTTCAAGGATTTGCTTCAGGCTGGTGTCAAACCAGGTGCAGACATCAAACCTCCCAAGCAACTTCCTTGGTATCCTGATAGTTTAGGTTGGCAGCTGGATATATCTAGGAAAGACATCCGCCGCTCAGAAGAATATTACCGTCTTCACAACTTTCTCATTGCTGAGACTAGTACTGGCAACATTAGTCGCCAGGAAGCAGTAAGCATGATACCACCTCTTGTTTTGGATGTAAAACCACACCACAAGGTAATGCATCAGCTTTTTATAAATGGCATAATATTGATTGTCAAGTTGAAATGGATTCTAAATGTAGTGGTTTCAATACAGGTACTGGACATGTGTGCTGCTCCTGGTTCTAAAACTGCTCAGCTTATTGAGATGCTTCATGGGGATCAGTCACCTGGGGACCCACCACCAAGTGGCTTTGTCTTAGCCAACGACATGGATAACATGCGATGTTACATGCTGGTTCACCAACTCAAGCGCTTGTGCAGCCCTTGTGTCGTTATCACTAATCACGATGCTTCTCAGCTGCCCAACATGCAATTACCTGGTGATGGTAAAGTCACTACCAACTTGTCTTTTTCAAATTTGTCTGTACAGAATCACTCTTGTGTAACAAAATACATATTTCATTTGGTTTGATCTCAGGTGGAAATTTGGTCCCATTGAAGTTTGATCGTATTCTGTGTGATGTCCCTTGCACTGGTGATGGAACTTTGCGCAAAAATCCTGATATTTGGCCCAAGTGGAATGCAGCCAATGGAAACAATCTGCATGGTATCCAGTATCGTGTTGCTCGGAGGGGCTTGGAACTTCTGGCTGAAGATGGGCGTATGGTGTATTCAACATGCTCTCTGAATCCAGTCGAAAATGAAGCAGTGATTCACAGGATTCTGAAGGAGTGTGAGGGTAATGAGTATTTAAGTTTTCTAATCTTGTGATGTTTTTCTCGTGATTGCTTTGGCATCAGTATAATTCCTCAAAAAAAAATTTTTTCAGGGAGTGTGGAACTTGTGGATATCAGTGCATCCCTACCAGGGCTGAAGTATAAGCCTGGCATGACAACATGGACACCTTGTTCTAAAGACCTTGTTGGTTATGAACGATATGAGGATGTTCCTGCACAATGGCAAACCCAAGTTCGACCAACCATGTTCCCTCCCTCCCCAGATGAGGCTCTACAATTCAATCTTGAAAGATGTATTCGTATTTTGCCACATATGCAGAACACGGGAGGTTTCTTTGTGGCTGCTCTGCACAAACTGAAGCCTTTGCCATCGGAAGCCAAACCAAAAGTAGTGGATTCTGTTGGGGAAGCACAAGAAGGCATGGACGAGACCCCGCAATCTTCTGAAACACAGGCTGGATCAAAAGGACCCCCCAAGAAAAAGCGAAGGGTGCAGGGATACAAAGAAGATCCATTTGTGTTCTTTTCAGAAACTGAAGAACTGTGGCCTCTACTTCAGGAGACTTATGATCTGAAACCTGAGCTGTCATGCACATCATTCTTGACAAGATGTGCTGTTGGGAAAAGGAAAAATATTTATTTCACTTCTCCTGCATTGAAGGACTTGATTGTTAACAATGAGGATCGACTGAAGGTGTGGTTATAATGTGTAGAGCTTGTAAGTGGATCCTCTTCCCTTGTTTCTAATTTCTTTTTGTTTCCTTCCTAAAATTTGTCACCCAGATAATTAACACGGGCGTTAAGGCATTTGCAAGATGTGATAACAAAGCTATGAAATGCTGCTTCCGGTTAGCTCAGGAGGTATGTTAATTCTTGTAGCAACTTTTTACTTGTTTTTCTAAGCTGGTCATTTTATAACAGGTTTTGTTTTTGTCTCAGGGGTTAAAGTGCATAGAGTCCTTTATAGGCCCTAAGCGAAGAGTCCAAGTTCCCAAGGAAGATCTTATAATTCTACTGTCGCACCAAGATCCTTCTTGTCCAAGTGAAATCGAAAAGTATAGCCAAGCCACCCAAGACGCTTTAAACAGAATAGGTATGTTCAAGTATTCTTTCTCCAATTTCTTTTACTTGCCACACAAGGTCAAGCCCTAATATTGATGTAAAATTTCAGAGGACCATGGCAGTATGGTTGTTGAATTTGAAGGCGTGACTAGCTCTGGCAGGCAGCTCAAAACAACTTTGGTTGGATGGAAAGGAGCAAAAAGTGTTCGAGCATATGTAAATGTGGATGAATGTGTGCACACATTAAGGTTGTTGGGAGAAGATGTAACAAAATATGGTAAGTACTGTTCATTTGGTTTAATCAGGTGCACTCTTGTTTACATTAAATTCATTGGCCAATTATTTTCTTGTCTCTTTAGAAGTGAACAAGTTTAAGGACCGAACAGATAATGGAAGAGAAGAAGGTAATGAGATAGTTGAAGAGGACGACAAGGCTTCAGATAATAGTGTAGCTACTGTGTCAGTGAAATCTGAAGAAAAAAGTGAAGAACCAAACCTTAATGGAACTTCATCATAAACTTCATTATCATTGAAATTAATGTTATTTTATGATATTCAACTGACTACAAATTATAATTAAAGAATAAAATTATTCATAGAAGAATTTCCTTATTTTACTTTAGAATTACTTTGGAATTGAAATTAATTTTGAAAACCTCTTTATCAAACGGAGCTGCAAAAAGTGACAGGAATGTAAGAACTTAATAAATTTCTTCCTAATACAGTCTTGTCATAGTTATAAGATTTTTTTTAAATATAAAATAGGAACATCACAGATTTTGTAAAACATAACAAGTAGAGTGTTCCTCTCTAAACCCCATGGAGACAACAATACTGAAGAAATAATTGGCATCAGCCCCAAACAACAATAAGGTAGCATAGCTCTTCTCTCAGTAATAAATTTGAAATATGTGCTAGGCAAGAGAGGCATCACACCTCAAATCATGAAGCTGTGTGAGAGATGATAAGCCATGAGACAACAAAATAAAATAAGATTATTGGATACATGGCAAGACCTTTCCTGCCCACAGGCTGACTATCACCCAGGAAAGCAGTTGAGGCTGCAAGTAATAATAGTCACATTAAAAAATTTGAGAAACAACAGATGGTACATTTAAAAGATAAAAACAATTTCTTTTGCAAAACTTACCATAGGTAGCCCACACAAAGCCAACAATCGTGAACAGAAACCGTATTATGAAAAGCAGATTGGTTTGGGGATAAAGGAGCATCACCCTACATACAATGAGAGCCATTGCTGTAGGTAGTAAACAGTATCCAAGAACACAAACACTCTGGAAGAATGAACTGCAAACCAGACACGGAAAAAAATTATAATACAGATAGTGACTACTGCACAAAGGCATTTCCTAGTTGATTTACAGCAGTATAATTCTTACATGTTTCCTCCCAGCAGCTTAGAGTTTAAAGTCACAATCATTGAACCTATCCAAACTATGACAAACACCTCGGCAAATTCTGGTCCTCCATCATTAGAGTCTCTTTCAGCAGACCCCTGTAATATCCTGGAAAATTAACAATAAAGATCAGAAAAGGAATAAGTGCGGGCAAAGATTATGATATTTAAAACAGTACTCACATAGCCATAAACGTGCATAATAAAAGCGGGCCCCAGAGATCCCCTTTTAAAAAATCAGAAGATAAAAAATTAATAGGGACATGTTACAGTCACTCAAGGAAATCAAAATTCAGACTGGGAATACCAGAACTTACATTCTTTTAACAAGCTCTTTTTTTCTCTTGGTATTAGCACATGATAAAACTTAGTTCCAACAGCTTTTAAATCCCGAAGCTGCCATGAGAGAAACAAAACATTGTCTCTTGGAGAAATGACTTAGTACACAATGTGTCTCTAATTCAAAGCATTCCAAAAACTTACCACAGTATCTCTTATAGGTTCATCCAATGTATTAAAATCTGGTTCTCCTAATGTTTGGCTTCTTCCTTGATTAGGAATCGACATTTCCCCTTCCACTCCATAATCATCGTAAATCTGAAAAAAGAAGAGTGTGCTGCTGATGAACCACAAAGTATAGATAAATAGTGCTCTCTAAAAAAAAAGTATCAATGCCCTCAAACATATGGGACAGAATGAGAGCTCAGCAGCAGACAAACTGGAGGAAGATGTGCAATTTTAGCAATAATGTCTCAACATGAACTCGTAAACTGCTGATGCAGTAAACCTCACCAAGTTTGTCTATGAGACTGAGTGCCAGGATAGAGCAACAGAGGGACGGGCAGAAATTGAGAATAAATGAAAGCCGCGACACGAAATAGATAATATTAAACAAGAAATATGAAGAAACGACCTGGTCAAGAATCTAACAACAGTCCTATGCCACCCAACCAAAACCCATTTCAATTTAGGAACCACGACAAGCAGCTGTATATTCAAGATTCGGCTACTTTAATTTATTTTGTTGGAATAATGTACTGAAATTTGAAGTGAACAAACCTCTACACGAGCGTCAGTAGTTTCGTTCATGATTGTTGTTACTGCTGCTGACGAACTGACGTTTCACACCACCACTGACTCCACTCCACGCACGAAGCGTTATTGGCAGCAACTATCATTATCCTGCCAATAGTATGTAAACAACCTTGCTGCCGACCAAATTGTAACCTGTCCAGAACCTGTCTGTAGTTCTTACCATCATAGGGGAAAATGTATGACAAGTCTGCCTGTTTAATTATTGTGCTCATAGCTTTTTATTTGGGCACAGAATCTACTTTTTCTGAGGAAAACATGGAGAATATTCACAAACATGGAGATCCTCGTATCCTTTCTGCTTGTCTACCTCTATAATGTAATTTAAATATTATGTTTGAAAAACACAAGTTTGCATGATACCTTAACAGAATCAAAGAAACAGCTTCATTCATTGCTGCAAGAATGAAACATTTGACAGCTGTCAATGAACTAAAGCAGGTGAAAAATGCAGTAAAACAACACCAATTAGTTTTGGACTTATTTAAGAAGGTTTTTAAAGTAAGTCGCCATCTAGTGCCTATTTCTTCTTCCTAAGTAGTAACTGTTCAGTCAAATTGAATTCATTTCTCTTCTTTAGATTCTTGATGAAAGCAGAAAATTAGTCGCTAGCATTGAAAGTCGGGCTGACATGACGAAAAAAGCGTCACAATGTAATACACCATTATGTTTGTCATCAAATATCTTTGTCGTATTTGCATCAATGTCTTTGCAGATAGTTTAGCTATTTATTTTACGTACCTTACAGATGTTGTCAATTATTTGGAGAACATTGCATTCTTCTGTGATTTGTTGGTCTTCTTCCCTGAAATAACTGTTAGGCACTTGGATGCTAATCTTCTGTGGAGAGTTACATTGATTGATAGCATCCAAGATGCAACATCTTTCAATATTAACTTTGTTGATGATACAACTCAAGCACAGTTCGAGAAGGTACTGCAACTCATTTTTCTATATGACAACAATGTAATGTATTACCGCCTTTGCACCATATTTTAATTTTGTTCTCTTAATATTTAGGCATATTCAATTTTGAGTGAAGGAGCATCCTATCAAAATGAACCAAATCAACCACCTGAAGTTAAAAAGAATACAGAATCGAAAAAGACTAAGAGAAGACCTCGCATGTCTTCGAATGAACTGTGATATGTTGACCATGATGTAACTGCTGTTCACAATATGAAGAGTAGTAAAGGTTAACCACAAGCTGTTTCTGCTTTTGTTTTTATTTCTTTGTTGGAGGCCCGTCGTCCTACCCGGCCAGCAGTCCTCTTGCACAGCAAATTAACACCCACTCAACATGTATATGCATTCAATATTTCACACTGGCACACTGATGCAGAATTAACGTACTGTATTTGTAACTTAATAAACTTTTTTAACACAAAAGAGAACAGCAATAAATCAAAATTTCAAAACATTAAAAAAGAAAAGAATCAGGTTCATTGTGTAAACACTATGTTTAACTCAGGGTAACATAAAATATCAGAAGTGAGATGAGGATTTTCTCATCTGATAAAAATCATGAAACAAAAAACAAAAAAAGTTACCATATTTTTGGTAACTCCTGTAAAGTGAAATTGCCATCTTTAGAATGGAGTACTTCACATCTTAAGGGTCCTAGCTTTTGTCCTATGACAGTGTTCATATCATATCCCTGCAACAGAAAAGGAATGATAGGAATATAAAATATCTTCAATGAAAACTGGGATTATGTAAAGGTCCATCCATAGGGCATTTACCTCCTCATTACACAAAGTGGGAGGCAACATAGATTCAATTGTGCTCTGATGTAACTGTTCAGAAAAAGAGCAAGAAAACACATAATAAACATCGAGAGCCAGACTAAAAAATACATCCAGTACAAAGAATTCTACCTTCAATCTAATGGATGAAGAAAGTGGCAGGTTTGCACAAGAACACAACACTTGGAGTGACATATGCATATTGAAGTTATCACATTGATTATTGCATTTCTCACATCGATACATTTCAGTACCATCACCAAGACTTAAGAGCTCATTCTCACAAACACCACAAGCAGGCCACATGTAAGCAGTTTCTTCATCAACACCAACAACAGTACCTGTAAAATAAATTTTCTAGACATCCATAATTTGAAGTTCTAGTTAGATAAACTCAGTTTACTCACCAAAAAATGTTGCAAGAGTTTTAGCCGCAGTGTTTCGATGTAAAAGTGGTAAGTTGGGGTTCAGCCTTGCCATACATCTCTGTTGTTCTTCACTAACTAAATTGCTGAGGATAGAATCAGACAGATCTTCCTTAGAAGATAATCTTGAGTATTTATCTATTCTCAATTCATCAGCTGTTACTTCAAGGTCAAGAACAAACAAAGCAGCTGCTTTAAATATAAATGTTGGAAGGAATGCAGTTTGATTCACAGTAATGACTGTGACACAAGGTGTAGTTTCTGTGTCTGTTACATAGAGACGCTCTCTTGTTGCGTGCAAAATGCAGCAAAAAACATTTGCTCTCCTGGGTTCACACGTAGAAGTCTGATAAAGAAATACAAAAGTTTTTGATATAAGTAAAAAATACTGCACATTTTATGGTGAGGGCTTCTGATAACTCAGCAATAAAAGGAAGAAAAAATATTATACCTCAGACAAAATGGAATTTAGTGTAGAAAAAGTTGGTTGGTGAATGGATGCTTTCCTTTGACTTTCTGAAAGCCCACAGCTCCAAGACAGTGTTGCAGAAGAGAGCACGTAAAACACTGGCTGATCACAGAGCCCTTCAATTCCCATACTTGATATAATTTTCCATAAATTTGAAACTCTGTAGACAAAAATAAAACATGATAACAGTTATAAATTTTAATAAGGTCAATTCCCTTAAAAATTTGTTTCACCCTCATTTAACAACAAACCTGAAAGGAGCAATCCTTTGAATGGGTAAAAATCCAGAGAAACAATATGTTTTACCAATAACTTTCCCAGTTTTCACACCTTGCCAAATGCTTCTATTCCAGAGAATAAGAAAAGTTAGAATTAAGTTTGAAGTTGGGATAAACTATAAACAACATAAACAACATAAACAACTATAAAACTCACTCTTGTGATGCCTGCAATTGTTCACAGCCCAACAGTACTTCACACACTTCTCCAGCCACATCTTGTCCCAGAAGAGACCATGAGGGAGCATCACTGCTTTGTCCAGTTTCAGTGTCAAGCGGCCTGTATTGAAAGAGTTGAGGAGAATTTGGAAACACTATAATGACCCAACCTAAAACTTTGGTAACCATCCATCCACAGGATGTTAAAAAGGAAATAAATACATGCCTGAACTGGAAAGCTCGTAATACTGTGAGAGTCAAGATATCCAAGGTAGCTTCACCAACGTAATGACGAGATACTAATGAAGAGATGCTCCCTGAAGTCACAGCATGCTCTCCATTTTCATGAGGGTCTTGTGGTAATTCCTCTGAATATTGGATCAAGTGTGTTTGGATTTCCACAAGCTTTGGGAAAATTATTTCAAAAAGACCAGAACCAGAGACACATTCAGAGCCTATAAAAGGAGAGAAAACTAAAAAATACTCATCTTGTTCCAAAATAGATATTGACTATACGAAATTTCACATGAATTTTATCATCACCTTTCTTAAGGAGAGTCGAATTGTCTGTTCCCTGTGGGCAATCTGAGCGTACAACTTCAACACAATATGCACAGAGAATCAAAGAGATACCTTTTAACTTAAGTGATTGCCTGAAAAGAAGATAACAGATTTTAAAAGAGCACTGCAACCACAAAATTTTAAGAATGCATTAATATTTTAGTTTCATGAAAAATGAAAAAGACCATAATGGGAACAAACCATGGAGGGAAAATACGAATCCTCGAGGAAGACATGATTTTCTCTAATTTCTCCGCAATGGTGGGGTCCAAGATAACAACAACCTGATCTGACAATGCATCAAGATACCGAGTAGTCCTATTATTGCAATCATCTGAAAGTAGAAACCCTGTGTTTTAAATGACACAAGCAAAACCTAAATAAAATGTGAGCCAACAAGACATACCATTCAAAACATGGCCCTGCACTACTATATGAGAATATTCAGTCCATGTTTTATCAACAGATATGAGCACTGAGGCACTCTGCTCTGACCCACCAGCTGATGATGATTTACTCTGCTTGCTTCGCTTAAACTGCCATATACGTGCAGAGGAGCGTTGCCGATTAAGAATTCGTTGCAAACGATTGGCAAGTCCATCTCTGTAGAGAAAATACTTTTAGTTAATATAAAAATGCAGGTGGTTTTTACTTAAGAGATAGTAAGTGACACACAGTCACTGTAGCTTACGGCTTCAATTTTGTCTTGCCCTTTTTAGGGGGTGCATTGAAATCGTCTGCAACTATTTCAGCAGCTAAAGGAGCAGCACAAGGAGCTGGGGGGCTAGATGCCTGAGAAATTGCCACCAGAGTTGAAACAGAAGAGGATGGCAATCTCTCAATCTGCGAAAAAGTTACTCTAATGTAATTATTATGTTTATACACTGGTCTTACACGAGCATTGCTAGGTGTACCTCCTCTTGTTGGCTGGTATCTAGGCTTTGTGATGAGCAGCTATCAATATCAACATCATCGTTATTGGAATTTTTAAATTCTGTTTGTGGACCTGTAGACATTGTCATTGATCATTTCAAGTGCCAAATATTATAATTAATTTTCTTAAATGGAATGCTACCTCAATATACCTTTAACTTCTAGAAATAATTTATCTGTCAATGATGCTATGTGATTTCTTAATGCATCATTACTATGGGAAGAAGTGGGAGACCCAAATGCATCTGGGATGTTCATTTCCATTGGTTCTGATAAGTCATCTTCAATCAGTAGTGTCTGATTAGAATGCTTTTTTACTGAAAGTGACAGCTGAACATTGTCTATACCATCACATGCCTTTTCTTGCTCATTTTTGTTCACGGTACAGATTTTCGCATTCTTCTTTCTAGAAAATGATGGTGCTACACATGATGCAGTAGGAATTGAAGGCCCGCTCCTCTTCTTAGAACAGGTTTGAAGAGGTGACTTCTTGCTTAAACTTAATTTATTCCTTTTCTGTTGAAGTGGGGACTTAACAAGCTTATCTTGGACAGATGCAACATCAATTTGCTCTGTGTTTGCATCCTCAATTAGATCACTTCTGTTCAAGGCCAAATTACATGGATGCAGGGTGTTTTCAGGCTCCTCTGTTATCTGAGCAATTGATTTATCCCAGTTGGGTTTACTCAAAGAGTCACAAACACTATCACAGGAGATAAAATTTTGGTCTTGTCTTGCTACTGTTTGGAGTACACTATTATCACAGTCAATGTCCTTCATGTGTAATTTATTTTGAAATGAGAAATCTAAGGAGCGCTTGGCTGCTGCTCTGTATTGAGAAGCAAGCAGTTTAGACTCCTCTTCTTCTCCAACAAATTTAGCATCATTCAACAGACTAACATCAAAAGTTGATGATTCTGAAACAGTCTTGTCTTCCTTGAATGAACTATCAAAAACTACATCACTGCTTTTATTCATAGATCCATTCATCAATGAGCGAGTAGCCTTTATCAATTTTATTGGACGATTTACATCTTTGGATCCAAGAATTGGTGACATATCTTTATCAACGATCATACGTTTTTGTCTCTTTACAGTTCTTCCGATTACAGGTGATGCAGGAGTTTCAAGTATATTTGACTTTGTAGGTGATGATGTCAAAGTGGGTTCTACAAAGATAACATTCGATGATTCATTTACTGCTTCTGGAGAGGTGTTGTTACTCAAAACTACATTTCTCGAAGGAAGAGAAACAAGATCCTTACGTTCAAAATGTGACTTATTTCCTACTTTGGATGGAGCAGTTTTTAACAATTTTTGAACAGAAACCCATTTGGGTTTGCTTGTTTTAAAGATAGGGGAACTAGGGACTGTGGTGGGTGCAGACACAGGAGCTGTTTCTTCTGCTGATTTCAATTCTTTTCTATCAGGCATTCTTCTTCTACAAATTCTGTTAACACGAGGTACAAGAATTGGTGATGTTACTTCAATTTCTGAAGCTGTCTTAGCTGCTTTAGGAGAAGGTTGTTGTTGATCGAGCTTTTCATTTGAATTAGAGTTCACAGAATCATCCGGTGTTAGGTTCACTGTTTGATTTAAAATAGATAAGTTTTTCTCCCAAATATCTTGGTGTTCAATTGATTCTGATCCTTTAACAGAATTGCCTCTCTCAAAAGAGGAGTCAGGCATTTCAGAAGAAGGTGCAGTGGGATTACATTCCCCACTTCTTCCAGCTAATGGACTGTCAATGCATTTCCCTGGCCTCTCCCTCGGCCGTTTCTCAATGGATCTAACAAACTGTGCTGAAGAGTGTCGGCGCCCTCTTTTCCTCACCAATTTACAGTCACCAAAATTGATGTGAGATGCAAGTGTACGATTAGGAAGTTGACGTCCTCGCTGAGACTGAGAGGAGGCCTCGTCAAATTCTTCGTCTGATGAGCTCCATGATATGGCTTGGTCTACAGGTGTGGCAATAACCTGAGAAAGCTCTGCCCATCGGTAATTATTCCTCCCTTGACAGAACACCTCGACAAATTTTTCCCTGCCCTGCAAAAGAGAAAAGATGTTGATTGGAGCTCACCCAGGTACACGCAAGCGCTATGTCCAAGAAACACAGACTAACCCGGAACGACAGCCTCTTGTTGACGTTGCTTGCTGTGATGATGTGCTTGCCCTCATCTTCACTGACATTCTGCATCCCTCAAAATATCGAGTGAACTGTCAATACGTCCTCAAGCAGACACTCAAATGGTCACCATCTAACCCCTTAAAATGTTCACCAATCAAGACAGGAACAGAGAGACACCATACTTCTTGCAAACCAAATTGGCAGGAATAGTCAAACTCATTTGCAGGTTATTCGGGTTCAACTTTAAAAATGCATTGTTTACCAATCTTCAATCATTTTCTAAATGCAAGCGATGCAAGTCCTTCTTTTGTGTATCCGCGCTCAACTTTCAAAACATAACAACTAGAGTGGGTCTGTTCTACATCAAGCATCTTGTAAATTTCAAACTGGTAGGAATTTGCTTTGTTTCTCTTTCGAAATCTTGTTCGACCTTTGAATTTCCGTGAATTAGTATAATCTGACGGGTAATATCGTGTTTTTAAGAGATTTTTTCCCCAATCCCTGCGACCATTTCCGACCGCAGTTCCAGCTGGTTCGTAGCCATCATTTGTTTACGAGGCGAGGTCACGACTTTCTGCTGCAAAAGTTCGTCGCAGTCCGCGCAAGTCTTGATTTTCGCTATATTTTAAAGAATCTGCGAACATGATCGCCTCATCGGGAGCCAGAGTTGCGAGCGCCGTCTCCAGAAACTTCTCAACATCCGTTGTCAGGGCCGGAGGGCATGGCCAAGAGGGTCTGTGGCCCAAGGCTGGCAGCGTAAGTACCTTACCTTTCAGAGGTTATGTCCCAGTTGAGTGTTGATGGCATCAATTTTCTCTATCCACTTTTTTTTCGTACCGATTGAAACGAGGTTGACCAAATACTTGGCATCTTCTATTCTGTGTCGCTCTTTTTCCACCGTGTGGCAAAAATACATTTTTGCACTGCATCCAGTCTCTTTCCTACCCATTGCCTGCTTATGATAGTTATTCCGTTTGCAGCTACTAATTCGTGATTCGATCTTCGCCGCTCGTGCTGCCTGCGTTATGGTGACATGAGAATGGCACCGTTGCTTATCCCTCGCTCTGGTCCCTGTTTCAGAACCTGCCATTCAGCATCGAGAATAGGTACAAGCTGACCCTGTCCTTCATGCTGTTCACTGGCTCAGCGTTCGGTCTCCCCTTCTACCTGTGGCTCTCCAAGCCATAGATATTTTATTTAGGTAGGTCTTCAGATAGGAAAATGCAACTAACTATTTGAATACTTGTATTATATTTCCTTGCCTTTTTTTCTTTTTTTGCCTCTCCTCAGGTACTACAAATTAGTAATGGGACGACAATTTCTTTTGATTATTTATGGTAATTTACCACACTTGAATACAGTATGTTAACTGCTATTCTTCTAAATTTCTGTTCACAAGCAAAGAAAAGAATGTAATGGCGTTGGTTGGAGTTTTACAAAAATTACACCATGAATAGACAGTGAATGTATTTTAATTTTCATCCCTATTCCCAACAAGTATTTACAATGTAATCACATAAGTATTGCTATTAAATAGTACTTGTCACATGTTTCCAATAAACTGAATACTTGTCTACCAGATCAGCTTGTGCGGAATTTAAATACTGACTGAGTTGGCTGTAACTAAGATATGGGTTGGGCACCATCTCTCTTGCATCAACAAATTCCTGTACAGCTATCTTGAGTTTCTCTACTTCAGTCATTGGTCTAATTCCATTTTCTGACGATGAATTATTTTCATCTTTAGCTTTAGGAAGCTTTTCACTATGTTCATCTATACTTAATAAGGCCATTTTATCAGATGTAACATCATTTCCATCAGTAACTCCTACCCCTATTCCAATACTGGAACTTTCATCTCTGGGTGATGAGAGTTCAATTTTGGGAGATTTTAGGAGTACATCGAGTTGAAACTTGTTTTTAAACCAATTCAAAGCTTCAGGTGAAAAAATATCACTTTTGACAATGTCGATTGTTTCAAGCCCCAGTGACCTGACACTCTCCTCCAGGGAGTCACATTTTGAGAGCCACAGCAAGACCCCTGCCGCAAGGTAGGCACGCAAGCTGGCTTGAAGTGAAACTTGAGAAGAAGAGAAAATGGAACCAGCCTTGAAAGGCCCTGAGTAAAGAAACAAAAGCATGTTAGAATTTACATGGTAAAAAGCTTGGTGTAGTCAGAATGAATAAAAGAAATGCAATTACCTGCAGGTGCCAGCCACATACAAAACTTCAAAAGGATTGGCACAGAGTTTGCTTTTAACAAAGCTGTTATGTTCATATCATTTAGGACGGACATTGCTTGAATGAGATAGCGGTAGGCTTTGATCTTATCTTCACCATCAATATCCGGGACAAATTTGTGCTTTATTTTGGGAAAGAGGGAAGGTGCAGCAAGGAAGGCTAGCGTCACCTTGCTGCTTGCAGCTAACCATGCAGCAACTTCACTGGTAACTGTAGTTTCATCCACTAACTCTTGCTGTAGGGCAGCAACCTTCTCCTTAGGTAAAGATATACTTACATACACTGCTTCATCAGCATCTACAGGAAGGGAACAAGTTAAAAAGACGTACATTTGGAATATAATTTGGAGAAACAGAATATTTACAGTACGAAACTAACTTACCAGCAGGACTTTCTGTGCAGCAGCTTTTCTGTAACCAGTCTCCAGGTGACAAGGTGTCTTGAGACGTGCAAATGGCTTCATGAATGAAGAGACGAAGAGCAAGATGGTTCAGGCTAGGGTACAAACCCAAGACAGACTGAGCTGTAGTCCAGTCACTCTGAGCCAGACTCAAATTAAAGCATTCAAGGGCATAATATTTTCCAGTCTGTTGATCGGATGTTTTCAGCTTCATTATTTCTGCAGCTAGCAAAAGTCGTTTAGGGCACTTTTTAAATGCAAGAGCCTGAGCAGCTTGAGACCATTCTCCTCCTGATCCAAAACTGAAATACAAGACAATTAATTTTGAGTCTAATGAATGATATACTCAACCACTAGAATGCTAAAACGGAAGATACAAACCAAACAGCAGCAAGACACTGACGTCCGTCCGACATGCTGTTGAGGGCCCAGTCATTGAGAAGGCTTTTTAGAAGGGGGTGATCAGGCAACAAGCGACACCGAGCTACAGCCATGGCATGTCGGTATTTTCCTTGCTCTGCCAGCAGCCGTATAGCTTCTTCAACTTTGTGAATAGCAAGGAGATACACAGCAGCCTTAGAGAATTCATTGGCCTCTTTCAACTGTTCTGCATATGCTGCACAAGCTTCAACCCATAATCTGCAACAAAGAACATGGTCGAATAGATTTTCTTCACCTGTTGCTCTTTCAATACTCCAAAGTGCCTCAAATTCACACTCACTTGTGGGAAACAGTGGGAGCTATGGACACCAAATAACTACTAAGTGTCTTTGCTTGAATAGCTTCTGTTAAAGAATCTTTGGTTGATCCTCTCCAAACATTAATGGTAAAGCCGTTTTCTTTTGACACAGCACTTTCTTCGGCCAATAAATACTGTTCAACTAATGATTGGTCTCCAAAGAAGGCATAGTGCACAGGCATTTTTTTCAAATCACCTTCTCCGTTTAGATCTAAGTGTATATTTCCAGCTTCTGTTCAGAGAAAAAAAAATCTATTCTTTAGTGTCATTTATTTTACAGGCTGGCACTATTTACAGTCGAAATACTTGCCTGGAGGATGTAAGAGGCACTTTAAAATAGCAAGATTACTGTCTTCTTTGTGAACTTCAGGACCTGATAGAGGCAATGTAGCCTTCTCCCTCTTTTTGCTCATGACTTTCTTGGAAGACCCGTCTCCATTAGAAGTGTCATTTTCTGAAATAAGGTAAATTGCAACAAATTAAAATTTGCAACAAAGATGAGGAATTCGGGAGTTCTGATATAAAATTACCTGTAGCATGACATTGAGCTTCTTTGGCACCTTCAAGAAAATTTTTAGATGCATCCTTTATTTTCTCTACCGGCAACTTAGCTTCTTGTTCCTCAGTGTTCCAGATACAAATCAGCCCTTCTTGTCCAGCTGTTATCCCTAAGGAAGGATTGAAAGGACTCCAGAGACAACAGAACAATGGAGCACTGTGCCCAGTGAAACAGGAAATTGGTTGCTTGTTGATAACATCCCATACCTGAAGAAAGAAGGTGCTTCATAAAAATACAGGATTGTACATTCATTTCCTCAATTTGCTTGAAATAAATGTAAAACTGAGTCGAGGTCATTTGGCTCCAAGCTTTACCTGAGCACATTGATCATAGGAAACAGATAGCAATCTGCCTGCTTCGTGCGGACTCCATGCTAGCTTTGATACGCGGAGCTTATGCCCTTTCAGCGTAGCAACCCGCGGCAAATTGGAAATGGGGACACTCAGTTCTTCCATACTCTGCAGTGCATCAAGAATAGGACTAGTATCCACAATATGTATACTGTCCTCATTGGAAGCACAGGCCAGCCAATTGGCATGAGGAGACACTTCTGTTACATCTGATGAACAGCACTGGGGATGCCAAGCCAGATCCTGAATTAATTTTGCAAACACTTTGAAGGACGAAACCAAATGCAATTCTTCCTTACTATTCAGGTGGAGCATATGTACAGACCTGAAACAAAAACAATTAGTTTTTCTGTACACAAATACTGGTGATGTTGCTATTCACAACAAAAATCTGCACACACCCTGTTTCATCTCCAAGAGCAAGCATGGAGTAATCTGGCTTCCAAGCCAAGTCAGTGAGACTCACAATCTTATGCTTGATCTTCAAGCTCTCTGGTTTGAGAACAGTCTTCAATATGCTCTAAAAAAAAAATAATTCAAATTCAAAAGACAAAAACAAAAAAACAATGACATAGTTGTAAAGGCTGGTGCAGGTGAATGCATTTTCAAGGACTACAGCTCACTTTGAATGGTTCATCATATATCTGATCTGGAAAATTGGGATCCATGGCTGCTAGTTTCCCCCCTCCAACTGCATATAGAACATAATTTGATGGTGCCAAATCAGGTCCATCTTCAGGGCTTTTCATTGCGGCAATGCTACTTTTGATGGTAGCAAGGGAGGGGGCCCACTCCATTGCATAGATGCTGTCTTTCGAAAATGGACGAAAGAGGAGGGGTGGTTTGATAGCACAGGTATATTGGACACCAATCCGTCCATCAGATGTACCTGAAAATATTCATGTAGAGAATATAAGTTTCTAAAATAGACAAAATTTCGAAAAGTTAGTCAGTGTTCCTTACCATAAGCAAGCCAACCATCTTTAGATGGATGCCATGCCAGTGACATGACCTTCCCACTCACTTTCTGGTTGTATGTTTGAATAGTTTTGAGCTGAGGTTCACTCAAATTAACCACTCGAATAGACTTGTCTGCACCACCAATGGCTAAACTGTTAGAAGATATTAGCATATAGTATTTGTAATTTATACTTTAGAAACATAAGTAAATGTTCAATTATGTAAATTAGATGTCTCACCTTGTACCATCGATGGATGAAATAGTCATTGCATTGACAGCACCTCCAGTAGTGTTGAGTTTAATGGGACTTAATTGCACATCAGAACTCTTCCCATGAACAACCCGGTCAGATCCGAAAGTCCAAACCCATCTGGGCACAGTTTCTTTTAAACGCCAATCATCTCCACTAAGTACAAAAAAAAGGGTGATTTTTATTTTATATTGTACCCAGTACCTATTTAAGGCAAATCAGCAGGACAACACACCTAGCTTCCTTTGTCGCTGGCCAGGGGCTGCTTTTCACCACTACATGCCCTCGATTGTGGCCCAGAGAAAATGTTTCCCACTTTGGAGTTTTGTCTGACACTTTCTTATTTTTGATATTAGCAACATTCAGAGACAGTACTTCTCCTGCAGTTGTAGACACTAAAAGTAGATGGGGTTCATACCAACAGACACATGTCCATGCTCTAACTCCAGTGATTCTAAAAAAAAAATTAGCAGTTAGATGGAAACTTATTCATTGGTGTAATGACAATACGACAATTAATAGTAAGTGTACCTTGGTGCAGAGGGCACGTCTGCATACACCTCATAAAGGCCATCTTGACCTGCACGCCAGAAAAATATTCTCTTCTCTTTGGCAGCAGAGGCAAGTAACTTACTATCATTATTGCCCTTGGGGTTTATGATATTTTCAGCAACAGGACACCAGGCAAGTGAAACTACCTCAGAATCATGACCTCGCATTTGGTGAAGGATATACTCTTTCCCTGAAACTGGAATAAAATTGATATTAAGAACTTGTTTTCCTTCAGAAGCACACTGAAATTTTTTGTTATTGAGTGTTTTGTTATTACTATAAATTCTAAAAGATGTCATTCTTACCCTTAATATTTATAACGCAAACCAAACCTTGTTTCGTTCCAGTGGCTACTATGTTTTGGTCATGAGGACAGCAAGCGACAACAACAAAGGAGTGCTCCTTGAAGCTTTTCACACGGAAGACATTTGATTCAACTTGCCATTGGATTAGATTTCCGCTTTCATCAACACACACAATTAAATTACCGTTTGCTTGGGACCAGTTTCCGTATGTGGCACATTTCTTTAACAACAAAGAGCAGATGGTTAGAAATCTATTTGGGTGAAGAGTTATTGAAAAAAGATGATCACCGTCTATTCACCTGAGGACTTCTGTAGGCTAATACTACTTTCCGCAAATCCAAATCCCAAACAAAAGCTTCACCAGTCTCAGACGTCGACAATAATTTATTACCAAAGCCCTCTGGAGGGAATGAAACAGATAAGATCCTAAACGAATGGGCTAGGTGTAAAGTTGATGGATTCAAACTTTGCGATGGTTCGAAAATGACCAAACTAGAGAGAGATCCATAAGCCACCTTCTGATTCCATGAGCAATCGAAGGCTTGTGATAGGTACCAATTTGGAGAACCAACAAGAGAACACTTCTCCATATCGATGAAAAGTTTCAACTTTATCAAACTCCTGAAACAGATACAGAACTAAATGCGAAGGTGTCACAGCACCATCAAAAACAAAGAATCGACTATGAATATCCTAACCTTACTCAAGCACGTTACGCTACAATGTTTCCAATAACTGCAAACTATGTAAAGCAAACAAGCAAGTTGATTAACGTGTGAAAGAAGAGTGCAACGAGGACTGAGACGGTAACGATATGACACAACTAGGACAATGAACACCGGCACTTGTATCGTATCTGTAACCTGTCAAACAGACGAATCGAACACACTACGAAAACGACAACATCCCGCCAGACAGGAAGTGAATGGTCGGTCCATGAGTGACAATGTGAACAAAAAAAGAAAACAAAACATAATCATCTAGATTACTAAGAAAGGGTGAACTCTGCTGTAGAATAAGAGGAAATCAAGGCAAGACAAAACAATCAAACAAAGCACAAATCATGGCGAAGCATTTTGTTTGAGTTCTGATCTGATGCAACACCATTTTGTTTAGGACAGTTTGCCACTCTGATTGCGTTACGCCCCCTTCCCCTACCACCCCTCACCCTCAACCCCCGGTCAAAAACTAGCGTGTGCATTTAAAAGCGTTACGAAGAAGAAACGAATAATCCAGGTATAATCACCACTTGGACCAAACAATCCAAAATTGGAACGTGCACATTTTAAAAACAGTATTCCTCGGTTCTTTCGGCGCTTGAAAGTGTCCGCGTAGGTTGCATTCTTGGAGAGCAGAAGCAGAAAGGCGCGAAAGCAAAAGCTGTCTGTTTGTTTACGTTTTGCATCATGTGAAAGGTTTCAAGGGTTTCGAGTTTCGAGCCAACTGTCAGCACAAACAAAGCGCGGCGCGGATTCAGCGCAAGCAGCAACAATTCGCGGAACGCGATTCCACGCGTGCTGCCGTTCGCGAATGCACCGCGAAGCGTGAAACGCGAATCAATCGCGATCCCAGAGCGCGCAGCAATCCGCGAAATTCGCGAAATTCGCGAAATAATCGCGTTCCAGCTCCAGCGCGAGCAGCAATCCGCGATCCACGAACCGCGCCGCAATTTAGCGCAGGATGGCCTCCTCAGATGGAAAGCTACTGAGTTTGATGGCAGGCAAAATGGGAATTAACTCGGACAAAGCGCTCAAGTAAGTCTTGTCTCCAGTTTTGATGTGCGCCCTCATGTGCAAGGTTAGGCGCTGTGTCCTGCAGCTGATGTCATTCCTTGTTTTAGCTTTGGTATTTATCTCTGATTTCCTCCCAAACAGACGAGCCAGCGAGTTCTTACGCCTCCTCCAGTTGAAAGTTACAGCCTCCAGTGGTCTCCGGCAGTTCAGTGATACCAGTCGTGTAGTTATGTGTCTCGATTTGGCATGTAATAAATTGGGCTATCCTTTCGACAAAGTAATTTATCTCCTATTTCACCTAAACTGAAAATATGTGAATGTTTCCTATTTATTTGCTTTTATATTTTTGCAGTCGAATCTTCTGAAACTAGCTGGACTGAACAAGAAGCTGTACTCAAATGGTCTAAATCTCATTGAAAATCTGCTAGATCTGTCCAAACCCGTTAATATTAATACACTGTGTGTCCAGCTCGGTGTTAGTGAGGTTGCCTCTCATGCTCAGAAAATTCTTGACAAGTATGAGCAGTCCTGCTGTATGAAAGCTTTCAGCTGTTGTTTCAAGTTTGCCTTTTGACATTTCTGTGTTCTTTTTCCTTGTCATAGGTACGTTGAACTGCACGCTCAGGGACCCAATGGAGCCAGACCAATAGATACTAATATGCCTATTTACCACTGTGCTTCTGTATTTATGGCATGCAAGTAAGCTCTGCTAAACTACATACTAAATGTAGTACAATGTAACATTTGCTGTTGTATCATCAAGGTTTCATCTTCTACTTTTTATCTTTCAGACACAACAAAGTGAAAGTAGATAGATCTCAGTTAATAGAGGCCTCGCGAGTAAAAAAAGTCCAATTTGATAAATTAATTGAAGATTTTGTGCCAGTATTAGATAATATGGGTCCAAAAGAGGTGAAGAAAAGTGCCTCCAAAAGATCTCACAAACTCATTGATCTTGTCACAAAGTATGATGAAGGTATGTACCAAATGCCACTAGCATTGCCTGTTTGATTGATTATCAAAACTAATCCATTGTCTTTTGTGAATGCAGAAAGTAAAGGTACAGAAAATGAAGAAGAGGCAGGCCAAAAAGAATCAAGTGATGCAGAAAAAGAAGACTTTGAGGTATGGAAAAAAAGGATACTTGGTGAAGCTTATGAAGCTAATTAAATAGAAGTTTTGAATTTTTTTGCCATATTCATGTGAGCGTTTAAAGTAGTTTTGATGAATGTGAATTTTTGTCAGTAAGGGATGTGCTGCAATTGTGTTGCATATTCAAGAGCATATTGAAACAAGTAGTTTTGAAGGATGTGACTTTTTGTTGGTAGGAGTTGTACTGCATTTGTGTTGTACATTTGAGGGCTGATTCAAATCAGTTTTGACGGATGTGGATTTTTCTTAGTTTAAGTAGCACTTTAATAGTTAAAATTATTTTGCACATTTACTAGTGCATATGGGCAAGTTTTGATGAAAGCTAATTTTCGTTGATAAAGGATGCAGTCATTTTTCATATCTACTCACTGTCATAAAAATTTTTTCAATTGATGGAATTTTTTTAAAAAGCAGTTGCGCTCAAAAAAAATTATTTTGCATATTTACTTGCGATTGTGACAAAGTTTTGGGACTGTTTGTTTCTTTGAGTTCTGTGGTAGTTGCGTTGGACATTTGAGTGCGGATTTTAACAAGTTTTGAAGGATGTTAATTTTTTTGTTAGTTGTAGTTGTGCTACAGTTGCGTTGCTCATTCAAGCGCGGATTGGGACGAGTTTCAACGGTTGTGACGTTCGTTTTTTTTTTGGGGGGGGGGGAATTGCGTTTTTTCTCTTTTTTGGAATATATCCATCGCGATTTTGTACAATTTTCTTGGAGTTGTGCTGCTGCTGTGTTGCTCATTCGATCGCGGATTTGAACAAGTTGTGATGCATGCAAATTTTCGTCTCTGTAGTTGACAAATGTCTGTTTTATTGTATTTATTCAACAAAATGTAATTGCGCGATTGCTTTAGTGTTCATTTTCATTTCATCATCTCGCAGGCCCATCTCTATTCAAATTGGTTCAACAAAATATAAATCCTACACAAAATAGAAGCCTTGTGAGTTCCTCTTTTGCACAGGAAGGAAAAAAGATATCAAATGAGGAAAATAGATAAAATGTGGAGACAAAACCACACACAAGATAAGTTCTATCAGGGCCCTGTCCCGTTACCACCCGTTGCAAGCTGGTATTCGAACCCGCGGCATTTGGGTGACCTTGGCCTTGGCCTCCGCGTGCGCCTAGAGACCCGGCCGTGCGCCCCGCTCACGTACTCCAAGCCAAACAGGGTTTCGTCGCTTCCCCTTCTCTCTCTGTTTATCGCCTCATGAGGCGTCGCGCAGGCGTGCGAGAGAGACAGAGCGGCGAGGCGAATCCCCGTTCGGGATCAGCCCGCTTGCGCCACGCCGCGCCGCGCAAGGCGCAAGGCCCGGCGCCGTTGGCGCGGTGTCCGGTACGCTCCCGGATGAGTGCAAGACGCGGCCCTGCTTGCCCTGCTTCGCGTCGACCTCTGTCTCTCTCACACCACGTTCCGAGGCAGAGCGTCGAAGCGCTGTGCGGATATTAGACTAGGTGCGTCGAAATGAGGCCGGCGCTGAAAGCGTCGGGGACCCATCCGATTGGGGGAGCCGATCCGAAGCGGGCTCATTTCGAACCGCGCTCGCAACGCTCCGTCTCTCTCGCACCCTCGCCGGCGCGCCATGCACCGCCATGCACGCGAGAGAGACAGCGACGTGAGGGCCGTTCGGTTCGAAATGAGCTTCTGTAGGACCGCGCGCCCGGCGCACAGTGGATTTGCCAGAAGACGGCTGGCGGCCTAAATTCTAGACGCGTTTTGAGCTGCAGAGTCGCTAAATGGGACTCGAACCGAACGTGTGACCTCACCAATGGATTGCTCTCCGAACGAGGAGTCCCTTGGTGGGGTCACACGCTCGGTTCGAGTACTGGTTAGCGACTCTGGAGCTCAAAACGCGTCAACAGTTTTGGCCGCCTCCACCGGTCTTCTGGCCCACTGTGCGGCGCCAGGCAATCGGGAAGGGCGGCAAGGCCAGGCCCGGGCCAGGCTGCAGCACCGCGAGGCACTCGTTGTCCGCGAGTGGCGTCTGCACTCCGCGCTCTGCGGTCGCGGGGCCGAGTGGGGCTCCCTTTAACGGGATCAGAACACGGGGACTCTTTTACAGAGAGGGAGTCATTCCGACCGCACCGCGGCGACCGCGGCGCACCCACTGGCAGATAGCGCGACAGCGCAAGTGCGCAAGTCGAATGCGTATGGGGACCATGGGGACCATGGGGACGGGCACAACTCATCATCGTTACATCGGTCTCTTTTTACTCGGTTGTCCGTTGTGGACAACCGTGCCTGAGGAACTGAGAGGGCCACTTCCGTTTTCTCCTCTGCACCACCTTCATGTCGGGAGAAAATCAGTTTTATTCGATGAGGCGCACCGAAAAAGCTTGGGCGATAACTCGCAAAATGTGTCTGAAAGCTGCCGCGGAACCAGGCAACATATCATGTTCAAAAACATAACAAACATAAATTTGGGACAAAACGCAAAGGTCCCCGGGGCCCGGCGGATGGGCCCTCGGGCGGTTGCTGCCTGCAGTGCAGAGCAGAGGCCGGTGCGGGGGCTGCGGGGCTTGCACAGTGGGCCAGAAGACCGGTGGAGGCGGCCAAAACTCTAGACGCGGGTCTCTAAGCAGGACTCGAACCGACCGCGACCCCATCAATGGATTCCTCGTTCGGAGAGCAATCCATTGGTGGGGTCACACGTTCGGTTCGAGTCCCATTCAGCGACTCTAGAGCTCAAAACGCGTCCGGGATTTTGACCGCCTCCACCGGTCTTCTGGCCCACTGCGGGTTGGTGGCGGCGCTGCGGCGGTTCGCGGCCGGCATGGCGCGGCCCCTTGCCGCTGTACCGCTAGGGCTACGCCGCCACGCCCGGCCACGGCAAGGAACTAAGGAACCTGGCCACGCTACGCCACGCTACGCCACGCTACGCAGCTTTGCGATGCTTTGCAAGGGGGTTGGGCGGGGAAGGCGGCGGCAGACACCGCTGCGCGCCGCGCCGCGCCACGCCGGTACTCCCAGGTACCCTCCGAGGTACCCGGCCGCCGACGGCCGAGGAGGCCGAGGAGGGGAGGGGGTTCTGCCTCTCGGGCCTCTCGGGCCGCCGCCGCGCGCCGCCCGCCCCGCCGGCTACCCGGCCGCGTGCTTCGCGTGCGTCCTCCGGCTCACTGTCAGTTGGGTTGAGCCGAGTTCAGTCTTCAGACCCTCTCCGCACCGGTCGGTACCAGTCGGCACCCGTCGGCACCCGCGGCCCACCTCGTGCCGGTCCAGGCGCCGCACGCCAGGCGCCGCCCCTCGCGGTCGCCACAGCGCGACAGCCGCGCGTCCTGCCAGTGTGTCAATGCCGCGGCGAGTGCGTTAGTGTGCGTGTGTGTGTCGGAGAGCCCTGCAGGTCACCACAAGGCAAGTACATCGGTGCCGGTCGAGGATGGGGGCGTGTTTGCAGAGGGCAGGTGCTGACAAGCGTGGATCTGGTGTCTGTCTGTCTGTCTGTCAAGAATTTTTCTCTTCCCCTGGCCCCTATTCCTGTATGACACCCCCACAAAGGCAGGGCGATGGCGGTTTTCCCTGCAGGTTGGCCAAAGGGACTACTTTGCCTCCCCATGCCCAGTCCGGCTGCGGATCCGCCTCTGGCGAGGCCACTGGGTGGCGATCAAGCCTCGGCTTGCGCGACTGGGACGGGCTCCATTCATGGTTGCGAACCTCATGAAGGGCGAGTAGCAGAGCGAGAATCACCCCGTCCACAGTGGGCCAGAAGACCGGTGGAGGCGGCCGAAACTCCAGACGCATTTTGAGCTTTAGAGTCGCTGAATGGTACTCGGACCGATCGTGCGAAGCCACCAATGGATTGCTCTGCGAACGAGGAATCCGTTGGTGGGGTCACACGCACGGTTTGAGTCCTGCTTAGCAACTCGGGAGCTCACAACGCGTCTTGAGTTTTGGCCGCCTCCACCGGTCTTCTGGCGCACTGTGTGCTCTGCCTCTCTCGCACCACGAGGGCAGTTTCGGCGATCAGAGTCACTGACGCGTGGGGCGCGGGTCGTTGCGCTGTCGCACTGACACCTCGCGGAGTTGTTGGTCTGTGCCCGCGGCGCGGAATCCTGGTGCAACTTTGCTGAGGCCAGGGATTCTCCTACCATTTTAAATTCTCCAGGCTCACCCGTATTGTCGCTTATCGTTTCCGCACCCTATTCTCCCCGCGAAATTTCCCCTCTCCTCTTCCCGGGGAGGACAGACAAGACTGAAAAAGCGCCTACGGAGGGTCACTGTTTTTACTCCCCTTCGGATGAATATTCCTCAAGCAAATTACGTGAAGAGTACGGGATATTGTTGCGCCTACGGAGAATTACCACAAGCTGTTTACAGAATTTTCCGTAGCTTTTTGCCACAGTGGCGTGCCGCGGCGCGCATCCTGCAGCTGCAAGGCTTGCTGGAGGGCACACTGGGCACACCCACTCACACAAGGTTGTCGACAAGTGTCTACACGCTGCACCAGTTTTTGATCGGATCTTATCGTTTCCAAAATTTGCACTCCCTCATTCCAATCCCGCGTGCGACGAGAGGTGTCCGCTTCTCCTCTTCCGCGAGGAAGGACAAGACAAGACGTAAAGAAAAAGCAACGCGACAACAGGAGGACTCACTTTTCACTCCACCATTTCTTGCGAAAGATTCCTCAAGCCATAGTTTGATCGTGAAGGATAGTTTTTAGCGCGTGGTTTGAAAGGCCGCCCGTCTCATGCACCGTTTGGCGCCTGCGAGGTAGGCCTCCGTGCCGGTCCGCCCCGCACCCGCAGCACACCGGTGTGTTGCGGGACGGAGGCGCCCGCGGAGGACATGAGGTGCAAACTGCGTCCGACCAAACCCACTCGTCGGGCTTGTCTGGCCACAAACGGGGTCGTCCTGGATACTGCTCTGCGTGGGGCTGGGCTTCGAAGTCCGGAGGAGTTTCGAGTTAGGTTAGGTTAGGTAGGATAGGTAAGCATGCATGACGGAGACGAATGATCGATCACCATCTGCCTGTCTAGGGCACTGCCCGAGGCACTGCCCGAGGCACTGCCCGAGGCACTGCCCTTGCAGCTTCAGCATTCCGAAGGTCACCGAGTCCGTGCCCTTTGCACCCCGCCGCCCAGCCCGCCAAGGGTGCCGTGTCCAGTTCGTCCCGGCCACTTTCGGTACGTTTCGGCAGGGCGGTGCCTCGGCGGCGCCTCTCCCGGCAGACCGAATCCGGAGAGTGATTGCGTCTGTCTCTCTCGCACCGACGCGGCACGCCCCACGAGTGCTAGAGCGCGGCGAAGGCACTCCTCGGAATCATGAGTCGGCCGCGGGCGTCCGGAGCGGCCCGGAGCGGCCCGGAGGGGCCCGGAGTGCCGGAGGCGCAAAAACAGTGCGGTCGTAACGGATCGGATGAGAGGAATAGGAGCCGGCGGCAAGCCGAGCGACAAAACGGCAAAACGGCGCCGCTGGTTAACGCCCCACCCTCCTTTTCGCCCCAGTGCGGGCAGTAGATTGGGTGAGATAAAACCCTGACTGTACCACAAGGTTGACAGTCACCCCATTCGTACGCGCGCAGCGGAGTGTGGCTCTTCGGAGCCGCACGTGTGATTGCTCTTTCGGAGAGCAATCCATTGGTGGGGTCACACGTTCGGTTCGAGTCCCTTTTAGCGACTCTGGAGCTCTAAACGCGTCCCGAGTTTTGGCCGCCCGCGCCGGTCTTCTGGTCCACTGCGCCGCAGAGATGATCGCTCGCGAAGGAAGGGCCGCGCCGCGGCCAATCTCCGCCGCGAATCAATACGGACGCGTTTGCCGCGTTTCGCGCGTCTTCCGGAACCAGCTCCCTTCGCCTCCACTCCAAAAAAAAAAAAACAGAAACAACAAGAAACGGCACAACGGTTGTGGCGAATGCCTTACTTCCGGCTGGTTTGAGGCGCTTCCGTCGATACGCGGACTGGCAGGCAAGCTGGCAGTATCAATTGAGAACTCTTTGAGACT